CCGCGTTTCTTGCAAGCTGCTACACATTTCACACAGTTTATCACCAGAAATTCAGCTCTGTATCCAACAATACAGATCAACATAAACAATTCCGCTACACAAGCCAAAAATGTTTTAGTACTGAGTCACTTCACTGATTTATCACACATGTAAGTCGACAAATATCACAATGATAACGCATTTCCTCTAAAGGTGTATCATTCAAGAACGACGTTATTGTTCCTTGAATAAACTAGCTTATCGCATTCTTCCTTCCTTCCTGGATTTCCTCACAGTCTGCCTCGGTTAGTTCCATATGAAACAAGATAGCCAAAGCCTGCAGACCTAAGACTTAACGCTTACAGATTGTTTTTGATCCAGTCAGAAGTCCTCTTGCTGTGCACACGGACAAACTGACAACTCTGAACCTTTCACTCGAGTGAGAAATCTTAAGAGGGAGATACGGTCGAAAATCTTACTCATAAAACAGAGAACAGAGAGAGGGGTAGGCGAACAAGAGATGTACCTGCATCTTTACGTCGTTCAACGGTCGCTCAGATTCAAAAATCCCAGTTGCCTGAGGATGCTCATTTTTGTCAGAGATAGGCGGTCCATAGAAGGGAAAATTGAAGTGGTGGGGGGCACTTAGGTTTAAAGGAGAAAGTGGGGGAGAACTTGTGGGATATTTTTCTCAAGCCACCAACCAATAGCATCTCATCCTGACTCTGTAATTATGTGGTTTTGAATGTCATGGCCTACGAGGGTTCGGGGGGGGGGGAAGGGAGAAGGAGAAATTCTTGTTTTGCTTTCTTGAGAAGCGTCACTGGCTAGGCTAGGCTGGGCTGGACAGACACTGATACGCTTTCCTCGGAAGGGACGCTTTCAACTAGCTCCATTTCCTCTTCTGTGGTACACCTCACGCATTGGATTATATCTGATTTATGAGCGGAATTGCTACTGTATAAAAAAGGATCTCCATTCCTTTGAGGATTTAAGTAAGAAAGAAGGATACCGAAAGAAAAGTTTTGAGGATTTGGGGACGTACAGGGACGGGGCGGGGGTTTAGAATGAGAAGGGGACTTTAACGGCGGGGGGGGGGGGGGGGGGGGAAGGGAGAAGGAGAAATTCTTGTTTTGCTTTCTTGAGAAGCGTCACTGGCTAGGCTAGGCTGGGCTGGACAGACACTGATACGCTTTCCTCGGAAGGGACGCTTTCAACTAGCTCCATCTCACTCTCCTCGTCATGGTTCTTGAACTATCATCAACTACAGGCTACGTTGCCAAACTTGATAAATTCCACTAGGCCTATTAGGTTGAAAATACTGTGCAATTGCTGCATTCTGTGACAACAGCAGTGGATTCTGTGTTTTCCAGCTACACAGAAAACGCAAATAAAACAATTTATTCAACTGAAAGCGAATGGAAGACAAAGCTAAAAACATTTTGGTGATGCTTAGCATTCACCCAACATCCCCAAATACCACACCTACATTAAAATGTCCTGATAGGTAGTCTTTCGAAAACAAAATTGGAAAGATGTTCATTTCGGGGTACACAAAATCTTCAAGTGTTATTTACACCACACACTGCTTAAAGCATCTCCTTATAGGCAAATAAAAATAATTCATAATAAAGCTTCGCGTCGATCGTTCGTCGTGATCCAGACCTGCTCCGTACTTTGGGTGTATCTGGTTCGAATTCGATCCAGAAGGGGGGTCATTTGACAGAATATTTTCTTCCACAGTCCCAGGTAAATGCAAAATGCCTTAAAATATGTCGCAACTGCTCTGTCTCTTCGTTCTAATAAGTCTATGTTCTGGCATGAACAACACTGGTCTGTATCTCGGTTAATCTCTGAATCCAACGAGGAAAATACGATGAAACCAACACTAACAAATATAAGAATTGTAGATTTATTTGTAGTCAGGAACTACTCATGGCTATTCATAACTTGGGTGTGCTCTTGTTACGTTCTGAATGCAATCGGACATAATATTGAGATAACAGAAAATAGTTATCATCCTAGATAAGTGTGATTGTACCGCAATACACAGAATATCCTTATGTGTACTTTGCACCTGAATGCTTCTGGATAAGACAGAAAACAGTATTAAGCTGCAGAAACAGTACTACACAAGTTTACTGTTAAGTACAGTTCACATTAACGTACCAACAAATCACAAATAACATAAAAATATAATCATATGTTTTCAGCGTTGAGATAAGATTTATTTATGAACTCTTGTCAGCTTATCTTCTTGTTCAGAAAAGCAACTAGAGCAATTTTGTATTAACGTTTACGTACTTTCCACTACCGGGTATTACTTACTGACTTAGATACTTAGGCGACCCGTTCTTCAGTGCCTTGAGCATCTCCGGGTCCCAACTTTCGTTGGCTTTGATCTATTAGACATTCGGTAGGAGTCCTTGGACTAGGGATCAGCCCGTCGCAAGGCCTCTACCTGTACACAGGACAGCACAACACAGAAAGACGCCAACAAACATCTATGCCTTGAGTGGGATTCGAGCCCACGGTCCCAGTGACCACGCGGCCACTGTGACGGCTACTACCGGATATTATTAGCACTGAAACCAGTGGAAACTATTTGCTCATCCTGTTTCAAGAGTCAGCTGATATTAATTTTGTATTTTCGAGTTTTGTATGAAATATGTCGAGATTTCGCTAAACTTGTTAATTTCGAATAAAACGTATTCATGAAATAAAACGTCGTTGTTTCCTTTCTTAATAAAGTCCGTAACAATATAATGTACGCTTTATAGTAGCGTACAGGACCTCTGTGCAAATAGTCACGTGGTTGACATTGCAAATGGTCGAGTCCAAAAATTTTCCTGTTTCATGCAACCGCCGAGTTAAGAAAAATCATCAAAACAAAAGTTGTATATTTGTCAAAGTTCTGTTACCAGACATCACTTCAGGACTTCATATAAAATGACGCTAGCGTTGCTTCCAGCTAACACGTTCGAGCGTTCGCCATATTGAATAGAAAAGCACGAGTTTAGGGTAACTTCAGATGGTATAACGTCCATACGAAATTTAATCAAAATCCGTCCAACGGGTCAGGAGTCGACACAGGCAGAAGGACGGACAGACATTCCTAAGTGCATTCATTTAGTACACATCGTGCAAAAATGGATAATAAGTGTTCATATTACACTGACCGAGGCACTCGAGAACATACCTGAAGAAGACAGCGCAAAAGAACACTTTTATCCGTCACAAAACGAAGTAGAACATCTGCTTATCAGAACAGTACGAAACACTACTGTCCATTTGTAATCAATGGCTGGGGAGTTCTGCACAGAACGCCCGGATTACGGGTGAAGAACAGGAGTGAAATATTTTCTTACTTATTTCATCAGTTGGTGTAGAACAAGCTTTATCAAACACGCCCGCGCCGACTGAGCTTAAAAAATGCAAGGCCTTATCCTTATCAGTTTCAGACAAATATAAAGTGTTATATTACCTTGACCAATAACAGACTGATGATTTAACCGCATGCATACGAAAGCGATATTCTACTACGGGTAGCCCTCGATTTGCGCCGATTTTGAAACCAGAAAGTCAAAAAGTGAAAAAATATATTTTACTATTATTTATAACGTTATACAATGTTTCTCGTACTTCTTCTTATACTAAATCGTGTTTCTTATTTCGCTGATTTTTAATAAAAATTATAAATACAGTCATCTCTGCAATTACGTATGACTCATTTAACAAACTCTTCTGGAATAAAAGCTATGGCTTGGAACTGTTGCTGTATAATATCTTCATTGTTCACAGCCCCGAGAGAGTTCACTCCCCCAAAAACGATCCTAATAGACGCTTCTAATTTGTGACCTCTTTCGTGTTTTCCTTCCGAGTTAGCCTACATGTCCAGCTAATCGCAACCTTCTTCATCCATACAACCTCCACTTCCTAATTACCCTAATGTCTGTTACTCCAAATATTTCCCTTAGCACTTAATTTTGAATTACTTGTTGTTCGCTTTCTTTCAGCGTAAAGATACATTTTACAAAAATGCTGATTGTGGTTACAAGGCCGACAAGACGATGGGCCAAACAGCTCTTTAAGTGAAGGCCATTCACTTCACATTCACATGAAAAAATTCGAGAACACTTAAACGGATATTCATAAAATTTGATATTGGAAAGATTTTCTAAAATTTGTCGAAACATTTCACTTTTGCTTGAAATCAGACAACAAGAACGTAAATTTTATACGAAGACCTACACGCGTTTCTGCCCGCTAAGTGACCGGTTGGGGAGTCTTCAATCTGCCTTGGTTACCATAGTTGTTATGGTTGCCTTGGTTAAAGGTTAAGAATCAAAATGTGGAGAATTGTTACGATGTGTGTAATTTCCTAACTTGTTATTTTAATGTTTTTCACAAACATTTCAATTTCTGCATATTTTAAAATTAATTATAACATATATACCGCGACTTTTTCGGGTGTTCTTTGGCTACGTGACATTCAGTTTTTAAATACCTTCCAAACTATTTAAATTCGCATACATACACTGCTCCTCAGTACCGATTTCCATTCCAACTGCAAGTTGATCTCCAAAGTGCATAATTTCTATAACTAATTTTAACTTTATTAACAGACTGGAATAAGGCCTAGGAAACCAAAGGCAAGTTTAAAGGTCCTGAATCTCATCAAGAACCCCACCTTCAAATAGGAATCCTGACGTGGCAAACACCTCCGTCATGAACAAAGATCATTACGTTGGATTCAGATCTAAGACTGCATTATTGACTCATCACTCACACTAAACTATATTACGCATGCTGGGAGCTCTTAACGCCAATTGTCTTGCTTCGTACAAGAGTGTAGTGAAGATACTGGGAACGACCCGTTCTTCAAGTGCCTGAGCACTGCGGGTCCCAACTTTTTCGTTGGCTTCATCTATAGACATTCGGTAGGACTCCTTGGACGAGGGATCGGCCCGTCGCAAGGCCTCTACCTGTACACAGGACAGCACAACACAGAAAAACATCCACGGAGCAGGAAAGAAATAAAGGATCCTTTATTTCGCTCGCTATTATGAGGATGAAACGGATTGGTTGGGAACTCGGAGATTCCCACTCCCACAGCCAGACCTGATTTTATGTTTTTGTACCAAGTAGTGGGACTGCTCTTTACTATTATGTTTTCCGTCAGACACAATGATCTGTTTCATTATTTATTATCAACTTTATATATGCATACACAATTTATCACAAGCAGTGGCAGGATAACACATAGTCTATTCGAACGAGCCTAAATCTGTTGGAACGCGTGCGCCGGAAGGAAGACTGGAGTCGCAAGTGTCGATTACGAACGCTAGGCTCTGTTCGCATGGGAAGAGTCGATTCCGTGAGTACGTCACGCGAGGCTTGTAATTCAGACAATCGAAACAGAGGCGATTTTAAGAGTTGCATACGACTGACTGCAGGCTCAGGAACAAAACTTTGTAAATGAATGCAGTTTCTATGCAAATAAAAAATACCTTAACTATGATTACAAGATGATCATGGAGCATAGAACATTGTTCAAATGACAGTTTCCTCTATTACTAATAAAACTAAGGGGGGGGGGGACTGCAGCCCACTGAGTGTGGAATCTCCTTGACTATACAGTATCTCAGTATGTTCCCAACAATATGCAGTATTATTCACGTGCTGTTTGTGTACTCAAACCACATCCGTCCCATGTGAAAAACTCTTCTCCAAATTTGGGTTGTTAGTATCAACGCAAACAAGCCGACACAAAGAGGGAGACTGTTAATATGAACTGGACAGATTTGTGCCTTACAATGGTTCTATAAACAAATCAGAAATTAACTTCCATTTACTTAAATTATTACTATTATAAGTACTAGTGTCATCATAGCACAAGTATCGTTACAATTGTGAACTATGTAAACGTTTCGTGGGAAGCAAAATATTTTAATTCGAAATTTTACTTAAAACACATATGTTTCTATATTTAAAAGGTTTTCGTTTCCCTGTATCTGCTTACAAGACAGACACGTAACGATATTTTAATTTAAAAAAACAATGGATTCGTACGTGCATATAAGGGCACATGCAAATGGTTGTGATAATTGCTCATGTATGGCGCCGTGGGTTACCCTAGAGTAGATTTTTGCAATTCCAAGGCCCCAGGAATCGACCACTCTAGCCACTCACGCCTATAAAACTAACCATGAAGGCCGAAATTTCTAGCTAGAGCTCTACATTCTCACGTCCGAGCTGGGGCTTCCTACGTCACACGCACGAGCGGCTACTGCCCAAGGTTACTATGAGAGTACCTACAGAATCTTGCATTATCACATCGTCGACCACTACTCCATTCTTCCGAAATCAGTCGATGTTTTCAAGGCTGATATAGGTAGTGGAACCTGTGTAGTTGTTTATCCACTTGCCCGTTCTTTGTAACCAGAACATGTGGTGGCTGTACATTCGGAATACCTTTTTTCGTGAGATTTCAGGTTCTCACGGGGACGAGTCTGAAGACGACTGTCTTCTGAGTTGTTGTACTGTGTAGTCTGCTAGACGTCTACCTTTGCCAACGTTTCATAGGTCCTTGCTGTCTTCATGAGATCGCCGGATGACTTAGGTAGCAGGACTGCACAGCCCTATAACCCAGAAGACAGTCATCTTAATGAGAAGAGAGACCACCTAGAAGAATAATTTTAAATGGACCTTACGGAAATAGGAACTGATGTGGCAGACTGGATTCTACTGGTCCAGCCTACATTTCGGCTGTGGGTTCTTATGACCACAGAAATCAGCCTCTGGGTTCTATTAAAGTCAAGTAATTTGACTAGCTGAGGGACTATTAGCTTCACAAGCACCACTCTTGTCCACGGAGTCAATAAAGTGGTAAGAATTTTAAAGCAAAAGAAGTGGAGACAAACCACGTAGTTAAATCGAAGTTTTGTGTCGGATACGTATACTTGACCGCCGTTACGCAGTAGTTATAACTGTAATCTCATTAGTTATTCATATAATTAGACAGATTAAATAAAACCAGAGCTAATTATTCCATAGGACTATCATTTCGTTCCCTTCATTCAACCATGTGCACTCAACAATCTACACGCCAGCGGTCTGCATGAAGTCTTTCGTAGTAAGCATGTTTCCGGGACTAGTTTCTTTTCGTATCAGTCAATGGAAGAATAAATATGTAGCTGGGGTCCGCAGTGGCCGCGCGGTTGAGGCTTGGTCGCTGGGACCGTGGGTTCGAATCCCACTCAGGCCATGGATGTTTGTCCGCGTCTTTCTGTGTTGTGCTGTCCTGTGTACAGGCAGAGGCCTTGCGACGGGCCGATCCCTCGTCCAAGGAGTCCTACCGAATGTCTATAGATCAAGCCAACGAAATGTTGGGACCCGCAGTGCTCAGGCACTTGAAGAACGGGTCGTTCCCAGCATCCCAGTAAATATATAGCTACACAGAAAACGAAGTTATAACCTTGAAAAGAGTAATTTGGCCAAATTATAGTAGTTACAGAGACAAGTGCTGTAGGGACAATGAATATTTTTGAAACATACGAATTGAAGTTGAAACCGAGCACAAATCACATGAGATACGAATAAGTCAGGCATGTACACAGAAGATTATGCGAGCAAACAAATGAAAATGAAATGCGACGTATCACATAAGACCAGGACTGGGGTTTAAAAGCAGTCTGAGATAAAGTTTCGTATATGACAAGTCTGAGAAATAGGTCGTGAAGTGACTCATGATAGAATAACAGAATATATGTCTAAGAAGAATAGTCCTAAGACACACAGGCCCATTTGGCTTACGTTGAAAAATCTGCCAATCGGCGCTATTTAAATAAGAAACGCTCAAACTAAATCTTTACTAATCAGGTATCGAATAAACTAATCATACTGATTTAATGGAGACTTCAGCTGCTAAGTACAGTGCCGAAAAACGTGGTTAGCGAATAATGGATTGCCAAAACTGTGGAAGCAGTCGTGGCCTACCCGAAGGCACTATCCATGCATTTGGCCGGAGCGACTAAAGAAAACCACTAATAATCTAAGTGTGTATAATCTATCTCGGGTTCCATACCTATCTAAACTGTGGACCTCCGGTATACGAAGCAGGAGTGCCGCTCTACCGTTGCATTCCGTACCCAAATATATTTTTTTTCAATTTAATGTTTCATTATAAATTCACTTGAACGACCGAATAACTGGATTTACGAGGGTCGCTCATTAAGTAATGCCCCACATTTTTTTTCTCAGCCAATAATGAAGATAGAAAAGTGCACTTTTACATGCTTGAGATTTGATGTTTCCCGCGTTCGTGTACGGAGTTTCAAATGATTCCAACCGATAGCGGAGCTGTAGTGAACTGTTAAAATGGCGTCTGTGAACGACTCTCGTTACAAGCAACGAGCTGTAATTGAATTCCTTGTTGCTGAAAAAGAAACGGTGGTGAACATTCATAAACGTTGGTGTGCTGTGTATGGAAGCTGTGCAGTCGATAGGAGCCCCGTTGGTCGCTGGGCTAAGAGAGTTAAAGCTTCAGGAAGTGAAGAAACCGAGCTCCGTGATCTGCCGCGCTCTGGGCGTCCTGCC